AGCAAAGTGGCAGGATACAAGGTAAACTCAAAAAAATTAGTGGCCCTATTATATACAGACGATGCAGTGACCGAGAAAGTAGTCAGAGAAACCTCACCCTTTACAATAGCCATAAACAGCATCAAATATCTGGGGATAATATTAACCAAGGAAGTGAAAGACCTGTATATCAAGAACATCGAGTCTTTAAAGAAAGAAATCAAAGAGGATACCAGAAAATGGAAAGATTTCCCATGCTCTATGATTGGTAGGATCAACATAATAAAAATGGCAATCTTGCCAAAAGCAGTCTACAGATTCAATACAATCCCTATCAAAATTCCAGCACAATTCTTCAAGGACCTGGAAAAGAACATTAATCAACTATATTTTGAAAAACAAAAGGCCCAGGATAGCCAAAACAACCCTATGAAATAAAGGAACTTCAGGAGGCATCACCATACCTCTCTTCAAGCTTTATTATAGAGCTATAGTCCTGAAAACAGCTTGGTATTGGCACAAAAATAGGCAGGTAGACCAATGGAACCGAATTGAAATCCCTGATTTTAACCCACACACCTATGAACACTTGATTTTTGGCAAAGTAGCTAAAACTATACAATGGCAAAAAGAAAGCATCTTCAACAAATGGTGCTGGCATAACTGGGTAATAGTATGCAGAAGACTGCAGATAGATCCATGTTTATTGCCTTGTACAAAACTTAAGTACAAATGGATCAAAGATCTCAACATAAATCCAGCCACACTGAAACTTTTAGAAGAGAAATTGGGAGATACTCTTCAACGAGTTGGTAGAGGAGACCACTTCCTGAACAAAACACCAGTGGCACAGACACTGAGATCAACAATTAACAAATGGGACCTCATGAAATTAAAAAGCTTCTGTAAGGCAAAGGACACAGTCAACAAGACAGAAAGGCAGTCCACAGAATGGGAAAAGATATTCACTGACCCCACATCTGACAGAGGGCTAATCCCCAAAATTTAGAAAGAACTCAAGAAGCAATTCTCCAAAACACCAAAGGATCCAATCAAAAGGTGGGGTACAGAACTAAACAGAGAAATCTCAATAGAGGAGGCTAAAATGGCCAAGAGACACTTAAGAAAGTGCTCAACATCCTTAGCCATCAGGGAAATGTAAATCATAACAACTCTGAGATACCATCTTACTCCTCTCAGAATGCCTAAAATCAAAAACACCAATGACAATTTATGGTGGAGAGGATGTGGAGAGAGGGGAACACTCCTCCACTGCTGGTGGGAGTGCCAATTCGTACAGCCACTTTGGAAAGCAGTATGGAGATTCCTCAGTAAAATGGGAATCAATCTACCACAAGACCCAGCAATTCCACCCTTAGGCATATACCCTAAGGAGGCAAATTCATACAACAAGGGCATCTGCTCCACTATGTTCATAGCAGCATTATTTGTAATAGCCAGAACCTGGAAGCAACCTAGATGCCCCTCAACTGAAGAGTGGATAGAGAAAATGTGGTACATTTACACAATCGAGTGCTACTCAGCAGAAAAAAAAAAACAATTGAATCTTGAAATTCGCAGGTATATGAATAGCACTGAAAGAAACCATCCTGAGTGAGGTAACCCAGCCACAAAAAGACAAACATGGTATGTACTGACTCATATATGGATTTTAAACATGGATCAGGAGAGTGCCAGTCTGCACTTCCACTGACAGAGAGTCTGGGAAGCAGGAAAGAACCTAAAAGATATACATGGTACCCACGAGAAGAGAAATGAGGCAAGATCCTCGGATCAGATGGAGAACACGGCAAGGGTTGGGAGGGAGGGGGACCTGGGAAATAGAGAGGGGGAGAAGTGGAACAGAGAGTAGGACATGGAGGAACAGCAAGGTCGACTGGGGGGGGTAGGATAGGGGAAAGAGGGAATCATATGTTAGAAGACAGATCAGGCACCATTGGGACCTCTAGTGACACCAATTGGCAAGCTAAGCAATAGTGTAGAGACCACCTCAAATGCCTATTCCTGATAGTGAACTTGATGTCTATAACCATCCTGGAGCCTTCATCCATTGACTGATGGAAGGAGAGGCAAACACCCACAGGTAAATACTGAACAGAACCAAAGGAACCCAGCGACAGAGAGAGAGGAGTGAAGAGCAAATTGGCAAAGAATGGGCTGGCAAATCCAGCAGAGACATCTAATCCAAACAAGGGAGAGCTCTTGGACCCCAGACCAACAGCTGGAGGCCAGCATGGGACCGATCCAGACCCCCTGAATGTGAGAGTCAATGAGGAGGCCTGGGCTACCTATGGGGTCTTTAGCAGTGTATCAGTGTTTATCCCTCAAATACTAACAGACATTGTGTGTCCATAACACAAAGAGGGTTACTCTCTCTGCCGGGACTCTTAGGCAAGTGCCTGGACCCTACCCTGAATGAAATGATAGACTCTATATATCCCCTATGTGGAAGGAATTGGCAATAGGGCGGGAGGATGGGAGTGGGGGTGTGGGAGGAAGGGAGGGAGAGGGAATTGGGATTGACATGTAAACCAAGCTATTTAAAATTTAAAAAAAGAAAAAAAACAAATGTTAAGTCAGATAATAAAGAAAAAATTTGATGAATATTGTGTGAAATCTGTACATTGCTTTTGGTAGAATGGCTGTTTTGATAGGCTATTGCTACATATCCATGAGCATGGAAGATCGTTCCATCTTCTGATATCTTCTTCAATTTCCTTCTTCAAAGAGCAAACTTTTTTCCATTGATACTTTGTATTATTCTCTTTGCTTCTATTTCATTTTTTTCATCCCTGAGTTTATTTCCTGCCTTCTACTCCTCAGTTGCGTTTGCTTCTTTCTCTTCTAGACCTTTCAAGTATGCGTTTAAGTTGCTAGAGTGAGATCTCTGCAATTTCTTTATGAAGGTACATATTTTATTAAATTCTAGGGGTTCTTTATTCTCCATACACACAGTAACCAAGATACGAATATATTTTTAAAAAATAAATATGCAACATAACTGCAGGAGGATCTATCTATAACACAAGAATCAATATCATAATGCAATTTTCTCTCTCAGACTGGCATTAAACTCACTATATAGTCCAGAAAGTTATAAAATATGTCTCACCCCTGCCTTAGCCTTGCACTTGCTGGAATTACCAGACTGTATTTTTAACTTGTAAGTTCTTTGGGTATCATTTATATACTTATTCCTAATTTGTGATATGTTGTTATGCTCTTTGTATATTCACAATGTAATGATGGGGTCATGGACTTACAAATAATGTTTCTGTATGGGGAGTTATAAAGACTCAAGACTAGAGGAGAGTAGGATGAGAGATAGCATAATAGAAGGAGCCATTATAGGTATGAGGAGAGAGCTGACATTAGTGAGATTTCCACTGATCTATAAGGATAACACCAACTGGCAAACTAAGCAATATTGGAGAGACTACACTAATAGCCCCTCCCTGATGATAAAGTTGATGACTACCTTATTTGCTATCCTAGAACCTTCATCCAGTGACTGGTCGAAGCAGAGACAGATACCCACAGCTAAACAGTGAACTGAACTCCTGGAACCCAGTGACAGAGATGGAGGTGCGATGAGTAAAGTGGTCAAGACAGTGCTGGTGAAACCCACAAAGACAGCTGACCAGAGATGGAGCTCTTGAACCCCTGACTGATGGCTGAGAGGCCAGCAGGGGACTGATCCATCAATGAATATAGTGTCAGTGAAGAGGCCTCAGAAATCTCTGGGGCCTTGGGTAGTAGATTAGTGTTCACCATGACATACGGATGAACTTTGGGAGTCCACTCCACTTGGAGGGATGCTCTCTCACCCTGGACACATGGGGAAGGGCTTAGGTACTGCCCTGGATGAAATGACAGACTCTGGAGATCCTGCCAGGGGGGAATGATATGGGGTTTGGGTGGGGGTCTGGGGAGGCTGGTGGAGGGACAAGGGAGGAGGGGTGGGAGAGGGAGCTGGGATTGACATGTGAAGCATGCATGTTTCTAATTTAAATAAAAACATATATTGAGAAAAAAGATTCAAGACTTTTTAAAAGGCCCTGATGAAATGACAATGGTAACTTTTCTTCTGTGTTCTTCTCCAAGATCAGACTTGTAGGCCAGTCTGACTCTTAGACCAGTGCCTCCCAGGAGTTGAGGTTGCAGCTTCTGAGGATAGAACTCTGCCTCCTGGGCAATGGTAATCATCCTAAGTCATCTGTTTGAGATTTTACAGGATATCTAATCAAACATGTCTGACTTGTTTCTCTGCTAACCTAGTGTACTTCCTAATAAATTTTCTTGGTATGAGACATTGAGTTACACAAGACCTTCTAGTCCAACTATGCTTTCATAATCTTTGTTTCTTATTTTTGGTCTTCTCAGGTACCCTTATTCCTACTAATTCAGACTAGCTCTGAATTTTCAAATTTCATAGTACAATATGCTATGAATATTTAATCATTCAATTTATAGCTTTATTGAGATATAATTGACTATATATATATATATTCAGAGGAAACTTTTTCAAATGTTGTATATACGTACTTATACATGTAATAGCAATTAATGAAAAAAGAGGTCATGAATTTGGAAGAGCGTGGGTAACAGTCTATGTGAATGTCTGGATGGAGGAAAGGAAAGGAAGAAATCTTGTAATTATAATCTCAAAAATAAAAAATAGGAATCAAAGAAAAGCACAAAAACAAAAACTGAAACTTCCTTTACTCCTGTTTTTGTTCATTTTATCCAATGTGTACTGATAAGGCATTTGCCTTATTTATAAAATGCAGGAATATTACTCATCTCTGAATACAGAATCAGGGGTCCCCAAAGTTGCCAGATTCTCCATGTTATAACTGCAAAATTGCTGTTCACATGTGATATTACCTATTTCCTGATATCCCTGAGTCCTCCGTGCCTCCCTCCTTCCCTCCCTCCCTCTGTCCCTCCGTCCTTCCCTCCCTCTTTCCTTCCCTCCCTCCCTCCCTCTCTTCCTCCCTCCCGACCTCCCTCATAGAATATAGAGTCTGGATCTCCCTGAACAGGTAAACACTAGAATAATGTCTCAAGTGGTACTTTTCTGCTTGGGAGATGTGAGGTTCAGCTGCCTCTGTCTTGGAGTCATGATGGTCAGCTGGGAATAGGTCACTTCATGGGGTTCTTCGGATGCAGCAGCCTGTAGTAGGAGTGGTCAGAATAAGGTCTATGTTCAGCACCATGAGCCTGGGGAACTGGAGAAGTCGGGACCCACCTGATGGTCTCTCATTTGGTCTTCTTTTGCCTGTCCCTCCTTTGAGTCCAGTAATTCCTTTGGCTTGAGAGGAGGAGAGGTGGGCTCTGCCCTTCTGAGTCTGGAGTGCTTCACCTGGGCATACAAGTCTTTGGGGTGTTCTTCCTCATGTAGGCTCTGCAGAAAAGAGAAAACAAATAACAGGGAGTGTATCCTGGTACCCCAGAGGCTCTGCTCCCACTCAGTTTCCAAAGGGTGGGAGAGTAATACTTTAGGCATCTAAGTCAACCTATTGGTGATGGTGTCTTTTGAAGCTTCCTACTCTGAGTGCATGGAAGTTCCTTCCTGAACTTCTGACATACTATCTTTACAAGGTGACCTAACTCTATGGGCTCCATCTTTAGGAAAGAGAATGTTCCTTCTCACATAACTACTGCACCTGTCATGTGCTGCCTACATGTGCCAGTTCATGACATATTTATAGTATCCTCTACACTCAGACTTCTCTTCAGAAGGCTCTTTTCAACCCTTCCTTTAAATTAACACTGATGATCTGTGCCCCCACACAACCTCAACTAATTTCCTCAAACACGTTTTAAGGCTCTGTCTGTGGTGTCTCCATCATATTCCATGCCTGGGTTTATCGCAGTGTGTGGGTAATTCTGTTTTCTGCTGAATCTGCTACCTCCACAGGAAACATGGCCAAGAGTGGGATCCAGGGACTGGGAAAAGGTGTCAAGCAGCAGAGTGGTGGCTGTGCAAAAATGAGTGAATGAATTTGATACACAGTATCCACACACAAAGTCAAGCAAGAACATACATGCCTACAACCCAAGCATTGGGAAGGGAGACTTGTGTCCAAGGTTCAATGGCAGCAGTCTAGACAATCATTGAGCTCTTTAGTCATTGAGAGACTCTGTCTCAGAAAATGATGTGGAGTAAAATAGAAGAATACATTGAATGTTGACCTCTATGACATCTGCTTATGCTTACACACATGTGCACACAAATGTGGTTAGGTGCATGGTTCTTGTATATTCGTATGTTGTATTCATTTGCTTGTTAATTTTATCACTAAAAATTAAGCCATATTCATCCAAAGTAATCACTTCAACATTGAACCACAGCTTCAGACATTCACATGTCTTCTGAGACACAATAAGCATGCCAACCAGTAGAAAGACGGTGAGGAATGAGAAAATAGGGGTCGTATGTTCAAAAGTAAACAAAGCAGGGGTGAGCTCATAGCACACAGAAGACAAGTGCATCCAGAATGAAGAAGCCAGCTGTGGATGATGCCAAGGGCTGGAAAAAGGGACAGTGATTGATCCCAGGGTAGACTGGGTCACAAGTTCATAGCATTGTGGAAGAGTCTCACCATAATGCCCAGCTCCATGTTGTCCTTAATCTGCGAGCCCTTCACAGTAGCATCTGTCATAACAGAACATGCAGGTCTTCCCCTGACCAAATGCATGGAACTTCTCATTTCCCCAGTTACCTGCCCCCTCTCAGACAGCAACAGAGAAAGTGGAGCACAGGGGAAGAGTCCATAATAAGTGCAGGAAAAGTGTCCACAGTGACTTGGTGCCTCAGAGGAGTGACCCCCACCCTCCCCCACCCCTCTGATGCTGAGACCTTGGATAACTCCCTCCCAGGGGCCCTCTTTGTCTTACAGACGATTTCTTCCTGGATAGCAGGAGCTGGGATAGAGCTGGGGAGAAAGGAGGAGGTCAAATGGCAGTGAGGGGAGTCAGGCATGTGAAGGTCTAAGTTGCTGGACTGGATTTACCTCTTCTGGATGTTTCTGTCTCTGGTTACTGGCTCTGCAGCTCCTTCAAGATGCTGCAAGGTGGTCTCTGTCTGGACTGCAAGAAAGGAGTCTTGATGGTGATACATACTTACTGAGCAACTTTAAGGAAGGAGGGAACATCTGCAAGTCATTTGCTATATATATATATATATATATACAAATGTTCCAGGAGATAGGATATGTCATATGATTCCTGAAACTGCACAGGTTTCAAGATTTTATTGATGATTTGAATATCACAGTATTGTTTCTAAGCTGGGGTATCCCAATCTGGGCCTTCCTCAGACTGGTGCATTGAGTCCCTACTTTGGTAAACAACAAGGGGCACCCACTACCTGCTAAGAACAAGACCACCCACACCCTAATCACCTCCATTCCTGCATTTGTTCTGGTGCCTGAATCTGAGCAGTAGAAAGAGGGCAAGAAGGAACAGCAGCAAGAGGAAGCCAACACAGACTCCGATCAACATCTTCTGGTACCTTGTCAGTACTGGGATATAGATAACATCATGAATGAGGTCTTGTATTACTGAGTCTTTGTATTCACAACCTCTTACCCTCATAGCTACAAAATTTGAGACTTACTCCCATCACTCCAGACAGTCTACCTGCTTGATGGTCACCCAGGTGGAAGATACACTGCTGAGGACTGAACCCAAGAAATCCAGCAGTCAGCCTTATTACCTACACTGAAAAGGAAGGAGCCTGAGTGCCCTGAACTTGCTGTGTCACATACACCCGCACAATGTCACCCTCATAGTGTCAGATGGAGCAAGACAATTGCAGAAGTGGTTTCTAGATAATTTCTCTGTATGAGAAATACATGATAAGGTCAGCTCTGAAATGAACTTAACATCCAGTCCAGTAGTCTCCCATTTGTGCTTGTAGAAACTGAGAATCACACAGGAGAGGAGCTTCTCCTCCATGTGAATCTCTCAGAAAAGACTACATCTACCCAATACCTAGATGGAGTCTCTGGACCAATCAGTGTTCTAGTTTAGACCTCCATGCTCAGATTTCATGGGGTGAAGGACTAGTTTTCAGGGCAAGAGAGGATGGGATAGGGAAATTGTGGGAAGTTAGTTCCTGCTCTCATTCACATGCTTCCCTAGGACAGACCTCAAATATCACTATTTGTCAGGTTAGCTCTATTAAATCCTAACCTATGAGCTCCTTTGGTTCTGGGGATCATGTTGAGCTCACTGCTTGAATTCTGGTGTTCTGGCCAACATCAAAGCTGATACAGAAACAAAGACTTACAGGGGATGAGATTTTTCACACCCTGGGAAGGAACAAGCTCCCTAGAAAGGAAAATCTAACACTTCTATTAGCTTGAGGCTTGGAGCCCCAGGTAATTGTTGGTAATAGGATGATGAGAAGGAGTGTTGGGTAGAAACATGGTCTAAACATCTCAGTTCATCTCAGTCTTGCATGTGCACTGAAGCCTCTCCAGAACCTCCCAGCTGGCTACCTGAAACATTCTGAATTTCACTGAAGAGGATAGACTGGATGTTAATTGAGGAAACCCACTTTGCATCTGTATTATTGACTAGCAAGCCCTTTCTGATTGCCTCTCCCTAGAACAAACTCACTCCCAATCACAGTCAAGAGCTCTCAAGGTCTAGTATCTACTGATCCCCTCTAATCTCACACATACCAGTGTCATCTCACCTGAGACAATGATCTCCACGGAGACACTAGAGTTTGACAACAGGTAAGGATATGAACTTTGAGAAACAAAGCACCTATATGTACCCCCAAAGGCTAACGTCACAGCACTCAAGGAGAATTCTGCCTTATGTTGAGAATCTTGGGACTTTGAAGTTTGATTCATGTAGAGGTGAGATACACCCTCCTTGAACAGAAGGAAACTGTCCACTGGGGTTGATGATTGACACAGCAGGGTCACATTATCTCCTGAGGACACAGTGGTGCTTGGATGAGCTGACAGGATGGGTATGACAGGAAGTTTTCCTAGAGAGAAGAAAGCTGAGTGAGGGGCTACAGTCATTGTTCTGAGATCCCCTTTCATTACCTAGTCTCTGTATTTGCCTTGAATGCCATTCATGTACTCCGCTATCCACGGGTCTGTTCCTCATGAGATAATCTTCACAGTCTAGACTATCAAACACTGGCCTCCCCAAAGTTGAGCCTGTATAGAGTCTGGGTGTCTGAAAGAATGTCCTATGTTCCTCACCCATTGTCAGGATGTCCAGAGGGTCATTGGTAGCTGACAACTCAGAAGAAAAGTTGCTTGAACCATAGCATTTATACCAGCCACCAGTGGAGAAATTCACAGAAACTAAGGTGAAGTTTGCATGAGACTCTCCAGCCTGGGTATGATGGGCAGAAATATTTGGAAGGTCACTTTTGCTCTCCACGAACAGAGTAAATCTATCATAACTTGTATTTGAGCAACATAGGAGGGTCAGGTTATCTCCAGGTGTCAGGAGAGTTCCTTGCTGAGATAACCCTGGAAGAAGCACCTGCAGAAAGTCATACAGGTGGCTCTTGGTGTATATTCCTATGATGGTTAGTTTTATGTCAGCTGGACACAAGCTGGAGACACTAGAAAAGAGGGAGCATCACCAGAGGAAAAGCCTCCATATGATTAGGCTGTACAAAATCCTGCAAGGTATTTAGTTAATTAGGAATTGGTAGATGAGAGTGCATTCCACTGTGTGTGGTAAAGCCAATGTAGTTGTATTCCTGGGTTCTATATGAAAGCAGGCTGAGAAAATCAGTAATCATCACTTCTAGAGGGCTTCTGCACCAACACCTGCCTTCAGGTCCATGACATGTTTGACTTCCTGTGCTGATTTTTTGAGGATAAATAGTGCTTTGAGAGTGAAAGATAAACCTTTTCCTTTACAACTTGCTGTTTGTCATGATATTTCCTTTCAATAATGGAAACCTAACTAGAACAATACCCTTCCTGCCCTGCTCTGACCGTGTCATGGTCTCTCATACTCTGGATCATAGCAATCAAGAGGTCCCTTCAGTCTTCATGACTGAAACCATTCTCAGGGAAGTAGTGTTAGTGATAAAGGGTTCTCAGGTCAACAAAAAAGATGAGTGTGTGAGAGTTCCTTACCTGAGACATATATCTCTAGAGAGTTACTGGCCTCTGACAAGCTGTATGGGTTACTTTTGTAGTATCCATAACATCTAAAGGGTCCATGCATGCTGGATGTCACAGAGATGTTGAGAAACAGAGTCTTGGACTGTCCAGTGTGAATGCAATGTGCATTGGGTGGGCTGGAGAAATCCTGATCTTCCCCAGTTATAATCAAGCAATCAAATGGCTTTGATGAGACACACTGGAGGGTCACTTTCCCACCTGGCATCACCACAGGGCTGGACAAGACTGACAGATTAGGTTTATCCTGGTAGAAACCTACAAAAAAGAGGAGGTAGCCTGTCACATGATACATCGTCTCCAGCAACTGGGTTCTGGGTGAAAATATTTAGGAGATGTATTTCCTGAGAGAAAATTGAGAGAGAAAAATGTACTCATGCTCCCAAATAATATGGGAGAAATCAGGAATGTTACCCATGTATGGTGTCTGCCCAATGAAGAAAATAATGATCTGTTGCCTTATTACTTCCTGTGGGTCATTTCACTGACAGCAGCAGAGTATTCAGTGGTCCACAACCAAAAAAGCTGAAAGCCATGACCATTAGTGTCCACTCACCTATCAACCCCAACTCAGGAAATCACTATGCTGAGTCCACCCAGCAGAGTTGTAACAGTAAAAGCAATATCACCCTGCATGATCCTCTGTCATGTATGAGATGAGAAACTTGGCTTTGCTATATGGCACAGTTAATCTGTCCCAGGGTGCTTCTTTATATAGGAAGTATATTTGGGTTTCCATGGTTCCCTCACAGAAGATTGTCACAATCTTCCCTAAGTTCATCACAGAACCTGGCTTAGCCCAGGTAGGTTATTTTAGGGTCGCTGCAGAGAAGTGTGTGAGAAGGATGTGGGACTATAAACAATTGTACAGTGAACATAAGACATATAGTTGAATCTGGAATAAGAGAAGGACACATGAAACAATCTAATCTAGAGGAAATGATTGCATCTCTTTAGATGCTTGCACAAAGCCACACAAGCAAATGACACTTAGGATGATTGGCAAAGGCAGAAGGACACACAAAGACAAGGTTTCCATGGACTCTTGAGTTACACTGCTATTATCCACCCTTTTTCCTACACCTCAGATGCTGTTGTGTCCACATTCCGTGAAATTGGACTCAGGACCTTGAGTTCATTAACCTACCATGTATCTCATCCTTCCCAGCAATCCTGTGTCAAGGAAATTAGCATTCAAAGGAAAGTTTAGGGTTGCCTTATCTGAAACCAGGAGTTCTAGATGGTTACTGGGTACTGATCATGACTGGGAGTTGTTCACATAATAGCCAGGGCCCAACCCTGGTCAATGGTGCAGGTAAGTAGGAATGAAGATCTCCTCAGGAAATGTCCACAGTAAGATGTAAGGGAATAAATTCAATTGTATGCATGAAGAGTTTTCCAACCCAATATCCAGGCATTTCCCTTTACTCAATTAATGCTGATTCCAAATATGTTTTCTACAGTAGTTATCCAAGATGAGCACTGTATTTTCTTACAAAACTACCCAGAATTCTCATATTTATTGTCTAGCCCATGACACTACATAGGATGCATTGCTGCATCCCCCATTCCCATTCCTTTTGCGTGATGAACATGTCTAGAGCCATGACAAGACTCAAACACCAGTATTCCAAGGACTATAAGTACCAAACTGGCCATCCCTATCCTCAGGAGATTCTCCACTGTATGATCACTCTTGGTCTCTGGTGCTGGTGCTGTGGACAAAGAAGGCAGGGAAGAACAAAGTCAAATGAGTTGCTGTATCACTGATAATGCTTCTTAATCACATGCCTTTCATTTGAACATGTTTTGTGACCCAGTGATGTGCTCAGCAGACCCTAAGTGCAACTGCACAATTAATGTAATTTATATCAGAACACAGTGTCTATGCTAAGGTTCCTGTTTCCTGAAGATTTTGTTTCATATATTTACATATTGGATTAATCACATAACTTGATAGGGTGCAGTATAAGCCATTTTCCTGTTTTACCATGATTACTTGTAGTCTTTTATTGGATTCTTCAAACACATCTACCTGTTTGAGGTCATACTCGTGTATGATACTTGAGCATAAAATTCTCATCAGCACTGAGAACTAAAGATTGGTGAAGAAAATCATCTCCCATTTCCAATGATTATCTAAGAAAGCCAAACTATGCTTCATGCTCAGTCTGGAGCATGGCCACATGGAAGCTAATTCATGAGTGAGGAATTGTGTGTGAGGCCCATACCGAGTTTTATATTTGCTGCCTCTTTTCCAAAAAGCCACACAATATGAGACTGACTCATATCACTCCTGCTGGCAATGTAGCAGGAAATAACACTGAAGAATTTTAACCCAATAAGTCCACCCTTCAGCCTTGAATGCCTACTCTGGAACTAAACTGCATGAATTGCAAAGAAGGAGCCGGAATGTCTTGCCCTGGCCCTGTTGCATATCCTACACACTGTCACCATCACAGTGTGAGAAAGAGCAGGGCAATTGCTTAAGTGGTTTCTGGAAACATTCTCTGTATGAGGAAAACACAGATAAGATCGGAACTAAAGGGAACTTAACATCTAGGCCAGGGCTCTTGATGAATTCCTGTATAAATTGAGACTCATAAAAGTGAGGGGCTTTTACATGTGACCCTCTCGCAATAGATTCCATATAACCATATTTAAATTGAATCCCTGAACTAATCCTGCAACAGATTTCTAGTCTCTGTCCTCAGACGCTGTGGGGTGAAGGGAGAGCCTCACACAGTGCGAGTTGTACCATCCCTGTAGTGTTGGTTCTGAGTTCTATAAGAAAGCAGGCTGACAAAGCCATGAGAAGAAGCCATTGAGCATTATACATCCAGAGCTTCTGCATCAACTCCTGCCTCCAGGTTTCTCTCATGTTACATTTCCAGTCCTGACTTCCCTTTTGGATTAACAGAACTGTGAAGGTATAAGCCAAATTCATCTTCTCCTCCACAACATGCCTTTTGTCAGGGTGTTGCATTTCAACAAGAGATACTCTAAGACAAATGTCCCTCCTATCTTGCTATAACAGTGCCATGTTCTCTCATATCCTGAGTCATAGAACTCCCTTCTATCATCATCATAACTTGAACCACTATATCTGCCATCAAAGTTAGTGACAAAGGGTTCTAGTGTCAATACACAGTTCAGAGAATGAGACTTTATGACCTGAAACATGTGTCTCCAAAGGATACTGTCCTCTGTCCAGATATGTGGCCCGCCATTTGTGGAAGCCACAGGGATCTCATGACACAGACCTACGGATTGTGCAGAGTATATATACTGTGCTGTGGGAGACCTGGAAAAATTCTGATCTTCACCAGTCAAAAGCAACCGATCATATGGTTTGAGGAGACAAATGGGAGGGTCACATTCCCACTGGATGTCAGCCCAGGGTTGGGCAAGGAAGACAGATTAGGTTTACTATGGTAGACACCCAAGAAAATAGAATGCAGCCTCTTCTGAGAGGCACTTGAGAAGGTGCTCACCATCCTTAGCCATCCGGGAAATGCAAATCAAAAGAACTCTGAGATGCCATCTCACTCATGTCAGAATAGCTAAAATCAAAAGCACCAAAGACAATTTATGCTGGAGAGGATGTGGTGAAAGTGGAACACTCCTCCACTGCTGGTGGGAGTGCCAAGTAGTTCAGCCACTTTGGAAATCAGTATGGAGATTCCTCAGAAAAATGGGAATAAGCCTACCATAAGACCCAGCAACTCCACTCTTAGGCATATTTCCAAAGATGCCCATTCATACAACAAGAATGTCTGTTCCACTATGTTCATAGCAGCATTATTTGTAATAGCCAGAACTTGGAAGCAACCTAGATGCCCCTCAACCGAAGAGTGGATAGAGAAAATGTGGTACATTTACACAATGGAGTACTATTCAGCAGAAAAAAACAATGGAATCCTGAAATTCGCAGGCAAATGGATGGCACTAGAAGAAACCATCCTGAGTGAGGTAACCCAGTCACAAAAAGAGAAACATGGCACGTACTCTCTAATATATAGATTTTAGACATAGATCTGGGGAGTGCCAGCCTACACTCCCATGGCCAGAGAGTCTGGGAAATAGAAACTTCATTCAGCTGCTGATGGAAGAAGAGGCAGACTCTCACAGCTAAGCACTGAGCTGAACTCAAGAAAGCCAGGGATAGAGAGGAAGGACTGATGACCAAAGGGATTAAGACTGGGCTGGTTTAACCCCCAGAAACAGCTGACCTGACAAGGGTTAACTCTTGAATCCCAGGCTGATGCCTGGTAACCCAGAAACGGACTGATCAAGACCCCCTGAATGTGGGTGTCAGTGAGAAGGCCTAGGTAATCTACTGAGCCTTGGGCAGTAGACCAGTATTCATTCCGAGTATACACATGGACTTTGGACTCCCATCCAACAATGTGAGATGCACTCTCACCCTGAACTCTTGGGGGAGGGTCTAGGCCCTGCCCTGGATGAAATGACTGACTATGGACACCCCCATGGAGGGCCTCACCCTCCATGGGGAAATGAGGGGATAATGTGGGGTTTGGGGTGAGGGCAAGGGAGGAGGGGGGGAAAGGGAGAGGGACCTGGAACTGATTTGTGAAGCAACCTTGTTTCTAATCTAAATTTAAACTTAAAAATAAATAATAAAAACAAACAAACAAAAAACAACAACAACAAAAAAGAATGCAGCCTCTTAAATGATACATTGTCTCCAGACACTGGGCAGACTATGGGGCCACTGGCATTGAAACCAATCTTTATCTCTAGTGCAGGTATGGGCTTTTCGGTCCCATTCCCTATGGAGGGATACTCTCTCATCCTAGATATATGGGTAGGGTCTCGTTCACATGCCAAATGATGGGTCAGAATTTGATGATCCCACATGGAAAACTTCACCCTCCTTGGGGAGTGGATGGGGTGAGGTGAGGTTTTGGTAGGGACATGGGAGGACAGCAGGAAGAGGGAATTGGAGTTGGTATGTAAAATAAGATTGCTTTTAATTTAAATAACAATTTATTTTTTAAAAAGGGTTTACCCTGCACACAATCATGTGTGGTATTTTGTTAATTAGGAATTGGTGGGTGAAGGCACATTCCATTTTGTGTGTGGTACCATCACTGTAGTTGCAAGTCAGTAATTAGCTCCCCTCCAGGGTTTCTGCACCAACACCTGCCTCCGGTTTCTGATCTGTTTGAGTTGCTTCCATGATTTCCTTTGAGGATAATAGTGCTTTGGAAGTGTAAGACAAATCTTGTCCTTTACGACTTATTGTTTGTCATGGCATTTCATTTTAATAATATAATACTAAATAGAGCAATGTCCCTTCCTGCCCTGCTCTGACAGTGTCATGCTCTCTCATATTCTGTATCATAGCAGTCAAGAGGTACCTCAGCCTTCATGACTGAATCCATTCTCAGGGAAGTAAAGTTAGGTATAAAGGGTTATCAGTTCAACAAAAAAGTTAAGTGTATGAGAGTTCCTTACCTGAGACATATATCTCCAGAGTATTACTGGCCTCTGACCAGATGTATGGGCTACTTTTGTAGTATCCATAACATCTAAAAGGTCCACGCATGTTGGATGTCACAGAGATGTTGAGAAACAGAGTCTTGGACTGTCCAGTGTGAATGCACTGAGCATTGGGTGAGCTGGAGAAATTCTGATCTTCCCCAGTTATAACCAAGCAATCAAATGGCTTTGATGAGACACACTGTAGGGTCACTTTCCCACCTGGCATCACCACAGGGCTGGGCAAGGCTGACAGATTTGGTTTACCCTGGTAGACACCTACAATAAAGAGGAGGCAGCCTGTTGTGTGATACATTGGCTCTAGCAACTGGGCTATGGGTGAAAATGTTTAGGAGATGTATTTCCTGAGGGAAAATTGGAGAAATCAGGAATGTTACCCATGTATGGTGTCTGCCCAATGAAAAAATAATTATCTTTTTTCCACCAAGAAAACTAGAAGTGGATGTTGTGAATAACCAGGTACCTTTCTATTTGTAGTGCCAGACCTCACCTAAAAACGTCAGAGCGTTTATCCTAGACTCTCCCTCCCTAGATTTTATTACTTGCTTTCAGTTAATGAAGCCCATCCATAGGAAAAATGTCACATGTAATTTATTGACTACTAACATCTTTACAACCTCTATCAAAGACCATACCAGACCAAAAGCCCTTAACATATAAAACTCATCTTTATGGTCACATGTATTTGAGTTAAGTTTTGATATACTTAATTTTTCAGATGATTTTCCATTACACCATTAATTTTTTCCAAAAGTATACTGTGTTTTAATATGCTTCCTATAAAACACTTCCTGTCAGACTTATAAAAGTGAGAACGAGTAAATGTTATGCCAGCTTGAACTGCGTTTTCCTTATAACCACCTGTGGGTCATTTCACTGACAACAGCGGAGAATTCAGAGGCCCTCAATAGAAAAAGCTGAAGGACACTCCCCTTAGTGTCCACTCACCTATCACCCACAACTTAAGAAACCACTGTGCTGAGTCCACCCAGCAGAGTTATACCACTAATAGCAACATCACCCTGTATGACCCTCTGTCATGAATGAGATGAGAAACTTGTCCTTGTGGTATGCCAGAAGTGCAGGTAGTCTGTCCCAGTGAGCTATGCTTCCTTCTTTATTTAGGAAGTAATTTTGGGTTTCCATGTTTCCCTAAAAGCACATTGTCACAGGTTTCCCTAATCTCATCACAGAGAGTGGCTTCCCTGTGATCCTGTGTCAGGTCTATTATCATGCAAAGGAAAGTCTAGAGCTTCCTTACCTGAGATCACCAGTTCTAGGTGGTTACTGGGTACTGACCACAGATAGGACCTGTTCTGGTAATAGCCATAGCATGTGAACCTCCATCTTTGGTTGGAGGTCACAGTAGACACTTGGAACTGGGCCTGGAATAGACCAGTGTTTGTGTTTTGTGAGGCTACGGGACCGGATAATTTCACATCTTCCTTCATCAGAATGAAGCTGTCATATTTTTCTTGTGAGGAGCACTGAAGTGTCACAGACCCTCCTGAGGTCACCACAGGGCTGGGCTTGGCTGACAAGGAGACTTTGCTTGTGTAGACTCCTAGGTGAGAAGACGAAGCTTGTTCAGTACACTCATTTTGGTATACATTGCCCCTTTGTTTGCAATTTGAGAAATGGAATCCAAAGTGAACATATTCCTTTGTTCGAGCCAGATGCATGGATTGGGAATAAGTCCTCTCACCTGTCACTACCAGCTCCAGGGCCTCACTGCGTTCTGACCACCCAGCAGAGTTGTAACAGTAGCAGCGATATAGCCCTGCATGATGCCATTCCACTGATGTGATGGAGAACTTGACACTGTCAGGGATCCCATGAGGAGTCTGTTTCTTCAAGGGATCTGGGGTTCCTTCTTTATGCAGGAAGTATATCTGGGTTTGCGTAGTTCCCTTGCACCAGATAGTCACAGAATTCCCTCTGTTGATCACAGAGCCTGGATTAACACTCATGGTGGGCTTCTGAAGTCTTCCTACAAAGAATTATTAGAGAAGGAGGTTGCACTTTTGAACAGTTACACAGAATGTCAAATTGTGCTGAACTTAAACTTAACCTCTGAAATACAAAAGAAAAAATAAGTAGTGCTATGGGAAGATCTACCACTCCCCTTCTCCCTCTGTGCTTCCATTATCCCCCTCTTGATTTTTGATGCCTATAGAACACAAGCTGTGCCAATGGGTTCTAGTTCCCAGACTCCTATACCTCTCAAACATCAGGCCCTCCTGTTGAATGTGTGTCAGGTTTAATGTCAGTCAAGAGAGAATCTGTGTTTTCTTCACCTGAGACTAGATGCTGCAAAAAGTCTCTCCCTTCTGACCACACTAGAGGATTGATTGTGTAATAGCCAAAGCTTCTGAACCTCCATCTATGACTGGATGTAATGGGACCCTTGTGAGACAAGGCTGATAACTGACCAGTATACAAATATTGTGAGTGCACAGAGTAAGTCAACCTTGCAAATGATATGTAATCTCCCCTGCAAAATCAGAAGGAAACATATAGACCCCATACATCCCTGAACCTCTTGGCTTTCATTTTTACTGTCCATGGTAGTTTTTACACTACATTCCAGCTATTTTTCACATGAGGTGACATTGAGTTCAGGATCATGAGTTAATTAATCCCTCACATATCAGGTCCTTCCCTGTGATCCTGTGTCAGGTCAATTATCATGCAAAGGAAAGTCTAGAGCTTCCTTACCTGAGATCACCAGTTCTAGGTGGTTACTGGGTACTGACCACAGATAGGAGCTGTTCTGGTAATAGCCATAGCATGTGAACCTCCATCTTTGGTTGGAGGTCACAGAAGACACTTGGAACTGGGCCTGGAAAAGACCAGTGTTTGTGTTCTGTGAGGCTACGGGACCGGAGAATTTCACATCTTCCTTCATCAGAATGAAGCTGTCATATTTTTCTTGTGAGGAGCACTGAAGTGTCACAGCAACCCCTGAGTACACCACAGAGCTGAGCTTCGATGAAAGTCTGAGTTTCCTGGTGTAGACTCCTAGGAGAGAAGAGGAATCCTGTTTAGTTGATTTCTGGGCCATATCGATAACTCTCTTCTGGAATATAAGAGAGTCAATATACTCCTTTCCACAAAACAGCCCTATGGTGGAAGAATGGTCCTCTCACCTGTCACAACAATCTCCATGGTGTCACTGTCTTCTTGTTTCCCATGAGGGTCTCTATAGTGACACCAATATTGGCCTGCATTGTGACTTTCAACGGATGAGATAAAAAACACCTTTTCATCAGTGTCTCCATGAATTGTTAGTTTCTGGGAATCTGGGTTTCCTTCTTTATAGAGAGATATTTCCAGGGCATCTGGGGAGTCTTCACAAATTATAGTTACTTGATCCCCAATGGCTACCACATTCTTTGGTGTAGCTCTGATTAAGGGTTTATGGCGGTACCCTGAAAACAAAGCAATCAAACAAAAACAGCTGTTACAGCTGAGTACATCCTAATCAGATCCACGATCTCAAATTCAGAACCTTTCAGGCAACAGCTGCTGCTGCTGTAACAGCTGTTCTTCATCTCTTTCTTCCAGAGGTGACCCTCCATTCCCTCTGAAGATTTATAAAGTAAGACAGCTGGAAAGACACTCACCTGACAACCCTGGATCCCTCAGGAGCAGACTCAGTCCTGAAAGAGAGTTACATGTGAGTGTATGCACTTGAAGCTTGAGCAGGACCTCCATTTCTAGATCCTGTCTGAGCTACTGAAATACCCTGATAGGCCAATGCTTAGCTATGAGGTGAACTCCTTATTAAAGCAAAATTCTCACTCCCAAAGTCAATTTCTCACCAAGACAAAGCAGTACTGTGAAGGTGCGGATCATGGCATCTTCCAATTGCCAAAAGTTTGTAGATGGCTGGTCCACTTGCCAAAAGAGCAGACAAAGAGTATATAGCCTTGCAGTCTGGTGTCTCCTTCTTATGTGTGTATTATCAAGGGAGATCTTGCAAAAAGGAACTTCTCTTTCTGAGCAAGTGGTGTTTGATTCCCAGTGGTGTAAAGGGTGGGGCTCTAAAGCATGTGGTACCTGTTTCCGTGGTGTTCTTTGAATTTGGTTTCTGACACAAAGCCTCATGAAATTCAGGAAGGTCTCAGTCTCCTCCCCTTTCTCAGTCAGCTTGTGTGCATGCATTGCAACCCATATCTGATTGTGGTCCTTTCAGAGTATCTCCTTCATGCTCATCTACATTTGAATGTATAGTCCTCTGCAACACAGACCAAGAAGTAAGAATAATTCTGCTTCCCTCCTGAAACAACACCTTCAGCTTAGGGAACTCAGGCTCATCTTTTTCTCTCAGAGCCTCTCCAAGGCACAATAGATTGCCTGGGCCTCCTCAGTGACACCCACGTTCAGGGGGTCTTGATCAGTCCCATGATGGATTCCCAGCCATCAGTCTGGGATTGAAGAGCTCACCCTTGTCAGGTCAGCTGTTTCTGGGGGTCAAACCAGACCAGCCTTAACCCCTTTGGGCCTGCCTCTCTGTCACTGGATTCCTTGAGTTCAGCTCAGTGGTTAGCTGTGGGAGTTTGACTCTTCTTCCATCAGCCACTGAATGAAGGTTCTGTTTCCCAGACTCTCTGGCCATGAGATTGTAAGTTGGCACACCCCAGATCTATGTCTAAAATCCATATATGAGAGAGTACATGCCATGTTTCTCTTTTTGTGACTGTGTTTCCTCACTCAGGATGGTTTCTTCTACTGCCAACCATTTGCCTGAAAATTTCAGGATTCCATTGTTTTTTCTGTTGAATAGTACTCCATTGTGTAAATGTACCATATTTTCTCTATCTACTCTTTGTTGAGGGGCATCTAGTTTTCTTCCAAGTTATGGCTATTACAAATAATGCTTCTATGACCATAGTGGAACAAACATCCTTGTTGTATGAATGGGCACCTTTTGCATATATGCCTAAGAGTGGAGATTCTGGGTCCTGTGGTAGGCTTATTCACATATTTCTGAGGAATCTCCATACTGATTTCCTAAGTGGCTGTACATGTTGGCACACCCACCAGCAGTGGAGGAGTGTTCCCCTTTCACCTCAAACTCTCCAGCATAAATTGTCATTGGTGTTTTTGATTTTAGCCATTCTGATCGGAGTAAAATGGTATCTCAGAGTTGTTTTGATTTGCATTTCCCAGATGGCTAAAGATGTTGAGCACTTTCTCAAGTGCCTCTTAGCCATTTTAGACTCCTCTGTTGAGATTTCTCTATTTAGTTCTGTAGCCCACTTTTTAATTGGATCCTTTGGTATTTTGGAGACTTGCTTCTTGAGTACTTTGTAAATTTTGGAGATCAGCCCTCTGTCAGATGTGGTATTAATGAATATCTTTTTTCATTCTGTGGGCTGTCTTTTTGTCTTGCTGACTGTGTCCTTTGCCTTACACAAGCTTCTCAGTTTCAGCAGGTCCCATTTATTAATTGTTGATCTCACTGTCTGTGCTATTGGTGTTATGTTCAGAAAGCTGGCTCCTGTACCAATTCATTCAAGGGTACGACCCACTAACTCTTCTATGAGATTCATTGTGGCTGGATTTATGTTAAGGTCCTTGATCCATTTGGACTTAAGTTTTGTGCATGGTGATAAACATGGATCTATCCACATTCTTCTATATGCCAGCATCGAGTTGTGCCAGCACCATTTGTTAAAGAATTCTTTCTTTTTTCCATTGTATATTCTTAGATTCTTTGTCGAAGATCAGATGTTCATACATGTATTGGTTAACATCAGGGTGTTCAATTTGATTCCATTGGTCTATCTGCCTATTTTTGCCAATACCAAACTGTTTTAGGACTACAGCTCTATAATAGAGTGTGACGTTAGGGATGGTGATGCCTCCAGATGTTCCTTTGTTGAATAAAGATGTTTTGGCTATTCTGAGTCTTTTATTTTTCCATACAAAATTGATTATTGTTCTTTCAAGGTCTGTGAAGAATTGTGCTGGTATTTTAATGAGGATTGCATTGAATCTGTAGATTGCTTTTGGCAGGATTGCCATTTTTACTACATTAATGTTACCTATTAGATAGGGATTATCTAATGCCTTATTTTTCTGGTTGTAGTTAACTTCCTTGGGTTAGAGTTTTCCTTCCAGAACTTTCTGTAGGGCTGGGTTATTGGATATGTATTTCTTCAATCTAGTTTTGTCATGGAATATTTGTTTTCTCCATCTATAGTGATTGAAATCTTTGCTGTGTATAGTAATCTGGGCTGTCAACCATGGTCTCTTAGTTTTGGTAGAATATCTATCTAGGGCCTTCTGGCTTTCAGAGTTTCCATGGAGAAGTTATGTGTAATTCTGATAGGTTTGTCTTCATATATTACTTGGCCTTTTCCTTAGCTCCTCTTAATATTCTTTTTTTTTATTCATAATATGTGAGGTCTTGTTTATTATCTGGCGAGGGGATATGTTTTGTGGTCCACTCTAATTGGTGTTCTGTAAGCTTCTTGTACGTTCATTGGCTTGTCTTTCTTTACGTTGGGAAAGTTTTCTTCTATGATTTTGTTGAATATGTTTTCTGCCCCTTTGAGGTGGTTTTATTCACCTTCTTCTATACCTATTTGGCCTTTTCATGGTGTACCAGATTTCCTGGATGTTTTGGGTTAAGGATTAGTTGGACTTAAGACTTTCTTTGGTTGATGAATCAATTTCTCCTAGTGTGTATTCAACACCTGAGATTCTCTCATCCATATCTTGTATTCTGTTGGTAATGCTTGTATCTGTAGTACCTGAGCATTTTCCCAGCTTTTCTATTTGCAGCCTTCCTTCAGATTGTGGTTTTTTATTGTTTCTATTTCATTTTTCAATCCTTTAACTGCTTGAATTGTTTCTTGCAATTTCTTCTTTGTCTTTTTATCTATTTGTTGCAATTTTTGAATTTTTTGGTTTGTTTTTTCTTCCATTTCTTGCATTTTTTGGTTTATTTTTTCATCCATTTCTTTGGTGGTGTCATACTTGTTTTTCTGTTGCTGAATGTGTTTTTGTATTGCTTCTTTCCCATCTCTTCTTCTAGTGGGTGCAGAAAGAGCCCCTTGCTGGTCTGTTGGTTACTGGACCAGAGTTCTCTTTCGATCGGTGCAAGCAAATCCAATACTCTGGTACTTTTTCTCTTCCTGGTTCTAGTCCTCATCCTGTGGGTGGAGAATAGGCCCAGGAACCTGAGGTGTGTATTCTTCTACCTGGTCCCCTTGTCCTGTTGGTGGAATAGAAGATCTGAAATCTGGGTTGTGTGGCTCCTGCTGGGATTGGAAGCTCTGTTGCAGTCCCCAGGCCATCCCTAGGCACTGGAAGGGCCTGGTTTACCTGGTCCTGCTGGTCCCACTGGTCCTGCTGCTTGCTGTTCCAGCTGGTCCTGCTGGTCCAGCTGGTCCCCTAGTCCCGTTGGTGGAAGAGAAGCCCTGGGATCTGGGGTGCTTGGATCCTTAGGGTGGGAGAGTCTGTGGCAGTCCATACGCAGTCCCCAGGCAATGGAAAGCAAGTTCAGATGTGGGGCCTTGTTTACCTGGAACTGCTGGTCCCCTGGTCTCATTGGTGGAAGAGAAGACCTGAGATTGCATGGCTCCTGCCAGGATGGAAAGCTCTCTGGCTGTCCCTAGGCAATCCTGAGGCATTGGAAGGAAGGTTCCGATGAAGGGGCTGGTTTACCTGATCCCACTGGTCCACCTGGTCCCTCTGGTCTCCTGGTCCAGTTGGTCTTGGCTTCCTTCTTTTCTCAGTTAACTTTTGTAAAGCTTCATAGTTGACCCACTGGCATCATTAAGAAATCGGCTTATTTTAGCTGCCAGAGTAGCTGAAAGGAAATTCCTAGTGACAGAAAGAAATAATGAAGCCTTATGTGGCTGATATAGCCATGAATTTACAGGGAAGAGATTTGTTACAACAGGGAGCTCATTTAAAAATCCTATCATTTCAGAAACAGCTAGTCAATTGGTGGTTAAAATGGGATATATTCTTGGAAAGAGCATTGGGAAGATTTTAATGTAATTTCATAGGCTATACACATTTACAAAATCAAGATAGAACTATAATTGGCTTTTCAAATTTTGAATAGAGGCCACTGACTGTAGCCTAAATGCTGTGCCTGTAACATGGCTAAGTAGGAAGCCTGTGTTGGTATATTAGTGACCCTTAACGAAAGAAAAATACAGGCACTTGAAATGTCAATGTTTTACTGCTAAGTAGAACTCCATTGTGTAAATATACCACATTTTCTTTATCTTCAGTTGAGAGGCATCTAGTTTGCTTCCAGGTTCTGGCTATTACAAGCAATGCTGCTATGAACACAGTTGCACAGTGCCCTTGTGGTATGAGTGTGCAGCCTTTGGGTATTTGCCTAAGAGTAGAATTATGGCATCTTGAGGTTATTTGATTCCCATTTTCCTGAGAATCCCCCATACTGGTTTGAAAAGCTGCTGTACAAGATTTTATTCCCACCAGTAATGGAGGAGTGTTTTCTTTTCTCCATATTCTCTCTAGCATAAACTTTCATTGGTGTTTTATATTTTAGCCATTCTACTATGTAGGATGGGTTCTCAGAGTTGTTTTGATTTGCATTTCCCTGATGGCTAAGGATGTTGAGCAATTCCTTAAGTGATTTCAGGCATTTGAGATTCCTCTGTTGAGGATTCTCTTAATTGAGTTATTTGCTGTTTTGTTGACTAGTTTCTTGATTTCATTGTATATTTTGGAGATCGGCCCTCTCTCAGATGTGGGGCTGGTTAATATCTTTTCCCAATGGGTAAGCTACCATTTTGTCTTGTTGACTGTGTTCTTAGCCTTACAGAAACTGCTTAGTTTTCAGAGATCCCATTCACTAAATGTCAATATCAGTTTATGAGCTGCTGGTGTTATCTTCCGGAAATGGTCTCCTGTGTCAAAGTGTTCAAGGGTACTTCCCACTTTCCCTTCTAAGAGGATCATTGTGTCTGGATTTATG